ATTCCTACCCTCTGCAAATGTTGACTGCGTTACGCCGGATTTAGTATAAACTGAACTGAACATTTCTCTACTTGCATTGTGGAACCGTGTCACTAATGAACCATTGTAATGTTTTCCAGGCTGCCAGGAATTGCCTAGTAAACGAGTCGGGAGTTGTGAAAGTGTCTGACTTTGGGATGGCCAGGTATGACTGAGTCTGTGATGTGTCCATTATTTTGTGGAATTACTATATCGTTACTGTATAACATACAAAATGTAATTATTTATCATATCAAAATGATTATATTAGTTTGTAGAATTAGTGTATAAATAAGCTGCACTGATGAAGCAAAGGAGGAAACCTGTTCATTGTTTTCAGTGTACTGAAATAATTCAGTATAAGAAGAGTCTTCAAAAGTTCATGGAAAATGCATGTTGTGAAAACACGGCATGAATTCAGATGTTTTTTTGCACCCGGATGGACTTGTACTTTGGATGGACTCGTACTTTAATCTCATTTTCCACAGCTTTGTGAAGTGCTCTTTAAATTGATCGTGATTTTAATCGTTCTCTCCAGCAGGTGGTAGTATAGCCTGTTAAATACCACGACTCCCTGGGCGTGGACTGCATTTCCAGAATCGCTCCTTTTCACAGAAATGCATTGGTGGAGGATTTGAGCGTATACACATCTGCAGGGCTCTCGTTCTCTCTCCTCTGCCCTCTGTCCCTCTGTGCATTCATCTGTCCATAAAACTCAGGTGGCCGCCATGTGCCGGGCCCCACATTCAGCTGCACCACAGCAGATCTCTAGGACCTGCAGCACATACTCAGGAAGGGGTGGAGCCTGAGATCTGGGAGGTCTCTGTGAGAGAGAGCAGACGCCATTCACGGTGGCTGGTCAGCCTGGGCCAGCCTCGTTTTGTGTAACCAGCAGTGGGTATGGGGCCAGCAGGTGGTATGGACTCCCATATGGCTGGCCACGGTTTGAGTCCTGGACCTGGCAGCTTGCTTTCTCACCTTCTCTCTCACTCATTCTCTCTCTCTCTCACTGGCAAACATGCGTGCCCTAGCAGATTTAAAATGATGATGATAAACAGAATTAAATAAATGATTTTTTTTTTTTTTTTAAAAATGGGTGTCACAGGGACCAGCAAATGGCATAACGGTTATGTCACAGGACTCCTCATGAATCCCAGACCCAGAGGCTTGAAACTTGTGCCAGGCACGTGTGCATGTGTGCCCAAAGACCCGAGAGGAGAATGGAGGAGAAAGGACCGCAGCATGGCCATCCTCCCTGGGGGATGAATTCTCACTTTCTGTCTCTCTTTCTCTCTGGCGAGTGCATGCACACTATAGCAAAAACGTCTCCAAAAAGAAAAAAAAAAAAAAAAGGGTTTTTTTTTTAGGAAAAAAAATAAAGGAATGTTATGATGTGATAATTATCTGAAATTTAAATGGCAAATACTGTTACTGAGGCATGGCCTCCCTCATGGCCTCCCTCATTCTCTTCCGTGGTCCGTGGTGGCCTTTGAGCTGTGAGGCCGAGTTGACTACTTGTCACAGGGACTGGGTGACCTGTGAGACCCAAAGGCTGTCCAAGGGACGCCTCAGGCCGTGGGAGTGTGTACTGTGAGACGGCTCCGTGTGGGTTTCACGTTCCTTTGCACCAGAACAAACTTGAGCTTTAGCTCCGTTTTCCCATAACTATGTGCGTTTGCTAGTACACTCATACACGCACTCCTCTTGAAAATACACCCCAACCTCGCAACAGGGAGCGCTGGCACCCCTGCGCTCACCACCCTGACCACGGACTCTCCTCAAAGGGGGCTGCTCTACCAGTGCCCGTGTGTCCTTCAAGAAGGACGAGATCCCTCCACATAGAGAACCACGTCGTCCCGAGGGTGTGCGTCCGTGGGGGTGTACATTCATTGCCTGGCTTTCGCATTTTGCGTTTTCCTTCTCGCGTACCCTGTGCTCTGCAGACTCCCGGCCCACAGCACGCGCGTCTGTAGCTCTTCGTGCCACACCATGGAGAGCGACTCTGCGTGGGAGCTTTCCCACTCAGAGCCTCTGGGTAGAATCTTGTCTAAGGAACAAAGTTGCTTCCAGAACAGTTTGCAGGCAATCAGATCCTTGGGAAAGTCACGATGTATTTTTCTACACAAAAATGCGTCGTGACTTTCTCGGCAGCCCAGTATTTTGTGTACACGCTCTTGCCTAATGAAAGAGAAAGCCGAACAGACGTGAAAGTGCGGGTGCCCCGGCTGGGATAGATCCAACCCCGCCCGTAAATGGAGCCCAGAATGGTGGGACGCACCAGGTGTGCCCCTGAGGGGACCCTCGGGTTTCAACCAGGTGCTTGCTGGGCTCTCATCCGCCGTGTTTGGGTCAGAGGGGCAGAGCGTGG